CGAAAATTCGCTTTAAACCCACGTCAAATGTTCAACGATCCCGCTTGGTTCCAGGTTACTCATCAGTCGTACTCCCGGAGTGTTGCCCCTTTCAGCTGCCATGTGCTCCGCCTTCTTGGGCATCCCGTTGTTGGAAAAAAATTCGTAACATAATGTGATCTAAAAACGGCAGTCAATTACTTCTTTGAGTCACAGCTCTCTTACTTCTGGAGAGATGGCATCAGTGATTGGCTCAAAGGATAAAAGAAGGTCGTTGACTTCTTTGGTAAAAATTTTTCCGAAAATTGATTAATATGAAAAAATTTAGAAATGATTCAAAAAAGGTCTCCATTTTGTCGCAGGACTTATTTGCCAACCTAATATTTTTCTTTCATGTTGAGCCTCAATTATTTTCCTTTCACTGCTCAGCGGAGAGGAGCTAATTTCATTCAAACTTCCAGTAAGGTTCTGAATGTTTTATTGAAAAGTTGACTCTGTCGAATCAGTTTTGCGGTGTCAGTTTACCCATAGTTCCATGAATGAACGATAAAGTGAGGCGGGACGGAGAATCCTAGTAAGGGGACTGCCATTGACTCCACAGGTATCGCTTTCCGTGCATAACAGAATTATATTAGATTCTTCGAAATGAAGTGAGCCAAATTATCGATAACAGCGACGTATTTTGCATTTTGTGTTCCATATAAGCACAACTATGGGGAATTCCCATCTTCTATTTGATCAGAGTTAGCATAGAACACCGACTGTGAAGTAAGTCTGTGGCTAACTTTTTTGAGCTGTGATCGGTTGGTACTTCTCAAGTAACCGTGCACTGTTGGTGCTGCTGAACGAAGCACAATAGCTTCGAGGAGATTGATGAGTCGTGATAGAGTCTGGTAAAACCTTTGGCGTTAATCATTCTCTTCTATTCTCTCATTGGCGTCTGGTACCAGTCGACCAACCTCGAAGAGATTGAAGGTCTGCTTGTCCAGGTCAAACACTTATCCTGGATTCGAACCTATGATCATCCATGTGGGATAGGGCGCCACTTGCCATTATGCCACCTTTACCCATGTGTTGAAGTAAACATTTCGAACTAGTTTCTCAGTAAAATCGATGTGGAGATCTCTTTTCTGAGTAAAGATTATACTAGGGCAAATTCTGAATTTTCGTACAAAAACGATACATTCTAATGTGACTTTGAATGGTGGCTGCATAAGAAACTGTCCTAGTTCATATAACCTCAGGCNGCCACCTTTACCCATGTGTTGAAGTAAACATTTCGAACTAGTTTCTCAGTAAAATCGATGTGGAGATCTCTTTTCTGAGTAAAGGTTATACTGGGGCGAATTCTAAATTTTCGTACAAAAACGATACATTCTAATGTGACTTTGAATGGTGGCTGCATAAGAAACTGTCCTAGTTCATATAACCTCAGGCCTTCTCTGTGCGTTTTTAGTTAGTAAAACTCCATAATCCTAGTCAGTGAAATAGTTGTTGTCACTAGCAAGGGAGTGTCACTGAGATTAAATAGTAGGCGGCCTGAGTGTGTTTGTGTTATTCTACGATACATACCCGGGGTTCGTCTTTTTGTGAGATTGCCAGCTGTCTTTAGCGGAGATCAATAAGTGTGGAACGAACACCCAGCCACTCCTGATTACTACTCGTCATAGTCATGCACGCGTCCTACCTTAGGACCAACTGACTAACTGGAACGACTCGCAATAAATCCCCAGTGTGATTTATTCCACATCTGGGCTGATCCGCCACAATCTCTCCCACCCTCATTTGGTTCTAGTCTCAGGAACTGAAGTGAAAACATAGGAATAGGTTTCAATCGTGTTGAAAAGGGCAGCATTGTTCATAGAGCAGATCACGTGCCTCTACGTCGGGCAGATGAAAATCATCTGAGTTTTCTGAAGCTTCTCAGAACATATTTCCTGACTATACTTAGGTAACAACTCTTCTAGTTTTTAGGTTTTTTTTTCTAACAAATCAAAAACCGGAATGGCTAAGCCCTTCACCACCATACCTGTCATTTTATCCAACAAAGACTGGTTTTTAGTGAAGCAGCGGTGGTGTTGATCGGTTTAGCTGCATTAGGAATAACCCTAACGAATCTTTCCAACTTTATGCTCTCTCTTCCATAGGGGTTTACGCGAAACTTTCACGGAGTGCTTACTAGATGTTGGCTAAATGTAAGGCCTATTTGTTTTCTTTTTTTGTGCGGTCATATGCTTCGTTGTCGTTTGGCCTATTTTTTTCTTCACAAACGATCTTTTCTGTATTTTTTTTTTGAATTTCTCTCTGTCATTTTAAATTCTTTTGCGATGTGGTCCTTATTGCAACATTTGAGGGCTCGTCTGAACCCCATTTCTTGGGTGTCATAAAACAGTAGCACACATACATAGTTTCTTCACTCATATGAATCAGTAGGTGGAAGGATTCGATGGAAGAACCCCTTTTCAAAGTATCGAATGTTCTATCAAAGCATAATTGTATGAATTGGTAGGGTCCTTTCTTCAATCGCTTAGACCTGAAATATTCGTGATTGACGCTCAACCTCTGCTAGATTGTTGCTCGACTCCATTGTTACTGCACGACCACATGAGCATTTATCAATCCGAAGGCGATTCTTGTTCCTTTGTTCATATCTCATGCCCGTGGTGTTCTATGAGGCGTCTCTGGGAAAACTGTTTACAAGTTTTTTTCTTTGGGCACAGTATCCGACCCGATCCCTCAAACGGCTGGCAAAACTAGAATGATCGAGCAAACATTTTCCCGACTTCTAACTGAACACAAAGTTATTTTGTAACAAAGTTTGTGTATTCGAAGAATAAAGAAAATCGATGACCGCCAGCTAAAAAGTGATGCTCGTACTTTTGCATTCATAGGACAGTGCACAGTTGTTCTGAGAGAACCGAAAGCTCAGTGCAAAAGTTTGCCGAGTGAACTGCACCAGCGAGTATGGAACAGGACCTGCCAATCTGAAGTAGGGCTTATTGTAAAAAAATATTTCCTACACCGCCATCGCATCACGATATTCATTAATCTTCGGTGATTCGACAGACCGTCAACATTGAGGAGGCCAACAATAATTTCTCAAGCCTANTTATTTTGTAACAAAGTTTGGGTCTTCGAGGAGTAAAGAAAATCGATGACCGCCAGCTAAAAAGTGATGCTCGTACTTTTGCATTCGTAGGACAGTGCACAGTTGTTCTGAGAGAACCGAAAGCTCAGTGCAAAAGTTTGCCGAGTGAACGGCATAGCGAGTATGGGACAGAACCTGCCAATCTGAAGCAGGGCTTATTGTAAAAAAATACCGCCATCGCATCACGATATTCATTAATCTTCGGTGATTCGACAGACCGTCAACATTGAGGAGGCCAACAATAATTTCTCAAGCCTAAAGTCCTGAACTGTAGAATATGTAGGAATTATGAGATCGAATCATAATAGAGGATTTCTGAGAGGGCTTCACGGATTTAGTGTTCTGATCCAGAAATTAGGCAGTTGTCTTTACTGTAAGTATGAGTAATGGGTCTGTGAGTGTCTAGACATCACTCAATTTCTTCAGAGCAAATTCTGTTGATTAAATTTCACGATCAAAAAAACCACCGAATCTCAACGCTTGGCTTGGCTTGCACTCCTATTATCTCTCTCTCGTTATCAAGTGCATATAACCTGTCTTGTGATACTACATCCATTTAAGGAGACCTTTCATGTAATATCGTCATTCTCTGCTTTTTTGAACTTATTACTTCGTTCGCACTCCATTTTTATCTTTTACAACGATACTTGTCGACTCGTCTATCTTTGCGTACCTTCTGTATCGGTCGTTCACAAAACCAGACCTTAGCGTTAGGTAAAGGTAGCGGTAAGCACTGATCGTTGCTCCATCGTTAGTATAGGCTACAGAGGTTATCCTAGTGGTCGAGATACTTCACTAAGCATTATGGCTTTTTAGAGATGGCCGCTTTCCTGCCTCATTCTATTTTTAAATATTTGTAAAAGCTGGCAAAAGAGCTAGGTGGGATTCTCCGGCCGGAGTACGAACCCTTTTGTCAGTGAAACTGCCAAAGGTTGTCCCCTTGAAGAGCAGATAGAGGTTTCGGTTTCTTTGTGCTTTTCTCGGTCAAGTTGCCGAAAAAGTCCGATTCTGCTAGTATTTTTGAAAAGCATTTTTCGAGGGTATTGGGGGCAGAAGGTGGGGGGAGGGGGGAAGGGGTTACGGTTAGAGTGGTTGCTAAGCGATATAAATTCACAAAGAATAATTTGCTCAGTCAGTTAGACGAATTGATGCTACACAAAGAATAATTTGCTCGATCAGTCAGACGAATTGATGCTATTTGTTATAGGTTCCCGCCCCGCCATTGGGTGTTTGATGAGGAAGTTTTGTGTGTAGGGAGCGGTACTGTAGAGAAAATGCCGAAGGAAGTGATTGTCTTCGAGTGACAAAGGCGAATGGGTTTTCTCAGTGAAAACCGCCACCGACTGCCGGTTAAAGTGCGTTAGGACCGGTCATAGTGGCTTACTAAATACATACATAGGCCTTGTTCTCAACGACAGCTTGCTACCAATGAGTAGAATGTTGACGATAGCTATAATCGTTTCAATCACGGGGTGAGTTTGTAAAGTTCGTGAATCTTGGTATCCCTCTACCTTCGCCATTTGCCGTATTTATTCCTTTCTCACTTGCTCTATTCTGAATCGAAAGCGCGTGTCTCAACAATCTAGTTCTATTTGATTATACCATATTGGATTCAATAGTGAGTGTCATTATGTATGCGCAAGTTGCCAGGCGCACGTAATGGCAACTTTTTTTACAATCTTTCGCAAATAATTCTCGATTTTCTGATTCGATTCGAATTCTAGATTTTCTCAGAGTCCAGACTATTTATTTTTTTGCTGCACTTTATCTTTATTGATGTCTGTCAGGGGCTTTTTATCGATAGCGCTATCAGTGGTGTCGTTTCTCAACTACATACATAGTAGTCATTACCCACTTCCCCTGCAGAAGAATCATGAAAAAGATGTTTCGAATTGGGCCCCTGCCGAAAATTAAAATTGACGATGGACCTGAGGAGGATGTGGAACGTATCTTGACGGAAACGCATGGTATTCCGCACTACGCCTATAGAAAAGCGAGTGAGTCTCATGATTACTGTGTTTTATTAGGAATTATTCAATTTGTAGAAGCCCTTTGGCTTTAGAAGGTCAGAGCTCTCATCGAATGAATGGCAATAGCTATCAGAGTGGAGCTGTTTGGCCGCTCACTGTACCGTTGATATCGGTGATGGATGAGACGCTCATCCCGGCATTCTAGTCTAGTCTAGTTCTGTCAGGACCGCCGAGACTTTTACGGTGACATGTAACAATTCATTTCAATCGGAAGAGTATTCAGAGGTCCCCAGTAAACTGAAATTCAGGTACGATATTTCAAGGGGTGGAGGACGGCAAATGTGCAGGAATTGTTCATAGTTCGAGGCATCAGCACTAGGCCCACAGCAAACTTCAAACAACTTCTCGTGTTCTCTGACTTTGCTCTAAAAATGAAGAGAGAATGGGACACGAAGAGCGAATCCGCTGGCGTTCGCAACATCTCCTAGTTCAGACCACGACAAGGAGAGCATAATAGTTAACTCAGAGACTGGTCTGAACTATGTAGGAGATGTTGCGAACGCCAGCGAAATCGCTCGCCTCGCCCCAGTCTCTCATTTTTATAGCAAAGTCATAGAACTCATGAGAACAGATGCGTTTTACATAGCGTAGCAGTTTACGATCATAAAATTTCCGACTTAATTCATCGTTTCGGCTGTTATGTTACAATGCATACTCCCACCAGGGATGATAATTACTCTTAAACTACATAGGCTCCGTAACCAATGAGTGAAAAGAGATATGCAAGCGCAGATTTCAATCAGAAATCGTTGGCACACCGTAAATAAGGCGAATTTGTAGCAAACTATTGATAGCTATTCACAAACTGCTTACTATGTGACAATGGGAGAAGCTCTGCATCATGATTTCATCCAGGCCCATAAGTAAAACCCTACAAAATCCAGTAATCNGGGGGGGGGGGGGGGGGGGAGGGTTGCTTCATACGAGTGAAGCGAAAATAGAGAAATCAATATGAAATTGTGTGAATAGAAATGTTGAATCAGTTGAACATGAAGGCCGGGCTATTCGATGGATAGCTACTGTTTGATATCTCTGACACCTAATTTGATACAATCCTTCTGATTATGCTTTTTATTTTGGAAAAAACACCGTCGCTCAACTCTTTGTTTTCCTTTCTGTTTTGGGTTTATCCGCTCATTAACGCTTCTGTATCTGAGGAACTTCCAGGTAAGCAATATCCAGTGAAAACTGTCTTGAATGAGTGATTTCACGATGAAGGGCGTAAACTATTCAGTGACTTTTGCCTGCCGTAACCCTTTGGAGGCTTGTTTTGTCATCAATCGTCCACGAGTCCAACCTTCTCTTTACATGATCCTTCAAACTGTCAAGGCTCCACTGTCAGCCTGAAAGGTTCAACGAATTCACTGACTATCCCTCAGCAGTCCTTATTAGTTTTTTATTTTTTCTTGTCGCCTGCCAAGATTGTTTTCATCCTGTAAAAATCGAAATCGAAGATCGATCGACAGATTGCTTTCGGCGCAAAAAGGCGAGCTGTAAAAAAGGTCTCATAAGGTTGTGGTCCCTGTATCTGAACATCTCCAGGGTAACAGGTTAATGCAACTTTTTATTTTGTGCGCGGTAATGTGTGCAGTGAAAACTGGTTTCATGGTAATAGATCATCAGTACCCGTTGTCTACAGTATTCCTGATATCGCACAATTTTTTCCTTACCAGTTCGTCTCGTCAGTGGCGAGCCAGAGGTCTTTTTCAGCCTTAACAAGGGAATTAGTGTATTCACAAAATCAGCGTGGCTGATTTATACTAATGAATGTAATCCAGGACATGAGTAGATGATGACTCGTTCAGGGACAGATAATTCGACTGAATCTCTAGTTGTGCCTGCACATCAGCTCCCTGCTTCGAAATAGGGATCCGCACAGACGAAGTGTACTGCAAATCCTAAACTACACTGCGTTGTATGATGATACAGCCATGAATTTCACCAAAGCTCACGTCCCAGTGCACTCCAGGAAAAGGCAGCCTGGAAATTGTGCCCTGCTCGCACCGCAACTTGTAGAACGAGTTCCACCTCAATAACATGAACAAATTTCCCTTCATATTTTCGGAGAAGGACACTTTGCCTATCTTGCAAAATGATACAGCCACTGATGGAACCAATTTATATAGCAGCTAAATGACGACAAGGAGAGGACATTGCGTGACTAGTAATTAATAAGCCCCCAATCCTTCGAATTACCTCAAAAATGCGATTGTCTAACCAGGGAAGGATCCCAAGATCCTACTTTGGAATCGCGACGCAAGGTATTTGACGTATGTATGGTATACAAGCTACTGTACCGAAGTAATATATTTGGTTCCTTTGATCTTTATAAAATGGCTCAATCTCGAACTAGAGGCGGTCAGACTAAAATAAATCTTCTTAGGCCCAGAACCAGTGTAAGAGCCAAAAGTTTCACATTTAGAGCGGCTAGCCTCTACAAAAAGATTACAAAAAACTTGAACACTCCGGATTCCTTGTCTAAGTTCAAACGCACTGTGGTACCTATTTTATCTAAGTATGAGCTTTCATAGTTCCTTGCGGTTGACCACTTCTTCCATGCCTTTGTTCTATATCTAACCTTGATATTTGACTGTTACCTCATTTTACGTGGTCTCTATTTACATGGGTCCCTTCCATTTATTCCGTTATTTGAGTTGTTTCCATAAGGTTGTGATCCTTTTATACTACGTTTGCCTTAGCAACGTAATAAACATAACATAACATAACACTATCACCAGCGCCGGTGTTGGTAAGTCCGGAGCTGTTATGCACTATCGCATCCAATCTAGCATCAGCACCCACTCTAGCATCATCATTGCTCATAATATGCGTTTTCCCTCCCGAATATCCAGATTTTGCGCACGGAGGAATCTCCCACTCGGTAACAGGTAGGTAGGTAGGAGGAGGTATCAGCAAAGGCATTAAAAGGTCATCAAACGTGATAATCTCATCATAAGAGTATTTTCTAATCCTTTAGGGAAAAATCCTATGTAATGCAAAAACTCCGTCCCCCAAGAGAACCGATCCCTAGCCTCTCGCCTATCAAGCGTCACGGTTACCACTACACCAAGCCGCCGTTGAGAGCTGAGGAACATCTATGTAATTTAAGTTTTCTCATGTTAAGCTCCCTGAAACCACCCTCATAACTCTGTTCAGAGAAATGCTCGGCAAATTTGGAAAGCAGATTTGAACTCAGCATCCAAAAATACGTCTAGCAGTGTACGTCTCATTTCAAATGGCCACTTCTACTTGGGATCCTTCCCTGGTAAGCTAAGTAAAGGCTATCAGTAGAGGCAGAGTTCCTGGTCAACTTGATGCCCCAACCGTCGATTTGATGCCGACTAATCCAGGTTGCTTTCTTCAGCTCACTAATACCTCCATCTTCTTGTTTCCTACATTAATCTTCCTTATCATGAATCCCTATGCGTTCCGTTCAAGTCAGGGTTGTTACCCAACCAGAGCAAAAAGTCGATTTGGTGCCGACTAAACCGGGTCCGTCTTCGTCTCCGCCGATCCTGACACCAAAAAGGAAGAAGAGCAGGCGCATCACAGCTCGAGAACCGGGAGGGCTGAGCTTTTTCTGAACAAGCCATAAATGGAGACGTTAACGAGAGGGAGTGGCCGCCCGTACCATGACTCCTCCTCCCATGGAACTTCTCTGGAAAACTGAAGCTCATCCTTTTTCAGATCGTACCAGTAGAATCGGCTTCCATCTGGGGCATTACAGTTGAACTTTTTTTATCGAAAAAAAAACAACCTTAAGAACGGAACATCAAGTGAAAGAGGGATAAACGACAAGCCATGAAAAGGCTCCTCCTTTCTTGTCGGTTCGGATGCAACTCCTGGCAAAAGCGACCCTGTTATCGCGATGCTTTTCGGTCGCAAAGAATGTCTTCCTCATTTTCCGTCAGCGATAAACTCAGACTTTTTCCATCACGTTCCAAACAGTAGTCATTGGGACATTGAGCTTCGAAGAGGACTTGATTTCCGTACATGATTTCGTCGTATTCGACGCTTCCCTTGAAATCCTTCGTATATCCTTCCAAAAGTAACAGAAGACGTCCCGTACTTTTTTTGATTCCATATTCTGTAGGATTCATGACGATATTGCGGACAAATGAGTGGCATAGCTCAATCCTCGAGCGATTTTGTGATTTGTGAGTCCCTGTTCCTCATTCGCAGGAATTAGACTTTTCTCAAAATCGGATGGCAACTTTTCTCCACCCATTACCTGAATTTGGAAAACGTGACATAAATTAAGCAATTGTGTGAGGTAAAAATGGAAAACGACGGGAAAATGTGAGGTGGCTCTATCACTTTCCAACATAGGCGAAGTGACTTTTTCCGAACACATAAAGGAAAATCTGTCCATGTCATTGAGATGGAACTCGTTGTTGGTCGTCAAGTTACTGCCCGAGCAGGGCACAATTTCCATATTAAGTCTTTTCCTGGAGTGCCCTGGAACGTGAGTTATGGTGAAATTCATGGGTAGCTGTACCATTGTGAGACGCAGTGTAGTTCGATGTTACTTCACCACCGTGTTCTGTCTTCTCTAAAAAAGCTATTGAGCTTATAGTAGTCTAGAACAGCTCAATACGTTGCAGTCCCACCCTAATCGCATCCCAGTACTTGTTTGCACTGAGTTTATAAAACAAATCCGCCACTCAAAACAGACTGCCTTACCTGAAAAGTTCCAAAGTATTTGGCGTTTTCGGTATCTATCAGATATTCATGGTTCGGGCTCAGAAATCGTGACGCTGCACGACGCTCGTGATCCTTGGGATGTGACCTGAAGCTATGCTAGTACACATGTGTCAGTGCAGGGTCTATTATTGCATCACGTCCTGGGGTTTTGATTAGGTGCCCGAAGAATTTTTTCTTAACCTTCATTTTTTGGCAGTAGGAACTGGTTGAATGCAAAAGCCAATATTTTTCATAGTGGAATAGCCAAAATGTTGAACTTTGTTCGATTCAAATGATCGCTACCTTATACTAGCACGGCGCGAAAGTGCTTTGAATGTCATTTATCCTCCTGCGGAACTGTCAATCTTGACCGTACAGCAGAGCTTTAAGGGGGTTGTAGCATCTCTTTCGTTGGAACTGACTTGATTTCTTCAGAAAGCATTTAGAAATGGAGAAATGACCCGACATCGACTCTGAGCTTTCAATTCGAACACCTACTTATGTAAGTTGGAACTGCGGGAACACCAACCTTCATCTGAGGTTAGCAAACCATCGGAGTGTCACCCTTCTCGTAACACCATTTACCTGTATATCGTACCGTTCTGCAGTCCGCGGTATGCGAAACGAATCACAGGCATGCCATGTTCAGTATAAGACTTCCCTTTCAACGTCACTTGTAAAGCTCCTATGTACATGCATATATGTATGATCGAGGTCACAACGTGTTTCCACGTTGCTTTCAAGAAGTCAGTTATTATGTAATAGACTCACCCGGGGAAGTACTGAGGGGAAATTAAGCAAAATGGCTTGGTGCAGGAATACGAGATCTGGCCTTAATTTCTACTGCAGACAACGCTTCCTATCGAGAATGTAAAAGACGCAACGAGTCTCTGCAAGGCTTGGGGCTCCTTAAGTACTAAATGTCCCTATGCTCAGAGGCGCGCTTAAAAAGGTGCAATTCTCCCTGAATTCACTTAATGAACGAAGGAGGATCGATTGAGCACAGGTTGAAGCAGTTATAAATTGCACTGCTTGTCCTGCAAGCTTCGCAGTTGAACTTGCTCACCGTTGAAAATGAATGAAGTTCTCGAGATATGCGGTTGGACATGCCAAAAGCTACGGTTTCTGTGCTTTGTCTAAAGCATTTTAGACAATGACTCTTAGAGCTCAATTGATCCTCATGACATGAACCCGTTTCCTAGACCCTGATTGAAATAATTGATTACAGTTAGTGTCGAATTAATTAGCACATCCATGCAGGTAAGGAATGATACCAAACGGGACTTTTGACAGGGAACATGGGGCATCCACCTACCTTGAAACAATGAAGGTTGGTGTAATGTGGGAAGTTTCAAGACGTGAATGTAGTCCGTCAATAGCTCCACAATTGGCCTCGTTCTGTGCATTAATTCCATTTCACCTCTTGAGGTGAAGTAGCAAACATCTTTGCAGATCCCTGACATCAGTTGAGGGAGTGCGCGCACTCTTGTGCCTGTGGCAGGAAAAGTACTAACTGCGCACAATCAACAACAGCGCCAAAGACATCCTATCAATATGTGTCAGAAAAAACGAGAGAACACGTGACTTCTGAAAAACGGAATGAGAAATGAGATCTGATCAAATTCTGAGCCAAAAAGTCTTGATATCATGTAAATAACCTTAGCTCACGTAGTTCCTCTTGTGCTCCGAAATCTGGCTTGAGATGGAATATATGTGAAGAGGTATATCTCAGAAGGTGGATGGAATGAAAGCGAGCACCAAAATTATACGATTCACATCTTGCCCCATTTTTCTTTTCTCGTGAGAGAAACAATTCACGGTGGCACTCAGTTCGAGCGGAAAAGTTAAAGTTACGGTACAGAATAGCGAAAGGTGACGAAAAAATCGCGAAATCGACAAATTTCAGGAAAAAATGCTTCGCGGATGTAGTAAAGAAGAGGTAGTACGAGATTATGACGACAGAGGTGGCATGATAGGGATACTTAGACAAGCTAATGGTTGTGTGCTAATGCGTAGAGTTGACTACAGTAAGCTATAACTGCCAAAGATTGCCTTCCACTGTCGCCTTTGAATAATGTTTGCTTGTTTGAGTCTTCAACTGATTTTCATTGTAAGCTTCATCGTGATTGATGCAGTTTCTTCGTGTTCTTCGAAACATGGCCAGCCTTTATTACGCCCAAACTAAGTCATTTTTCGATCTGACAGTGCTACGCAAGGCGTTCTTGAGGGCTTTACAACCGTTTCAAGGGGATAACTCGAGGAACATTTTTATCGTGACTTGTGTATGACTATATCGTAAACTGTGCTTTCAACAAGAGGCTCCAGTGGTCCTTGAATTTATTGGGATCCACCTCATAAGTCCTTGGAATATCAATTATTTTCGGAAATGTCTTTAATTTTGACAGCCATTTATTGGCCATTTCTTGTCTTTCATGAGATTCCCCTTCAGTTATGTTTGTGTTGGATAAGCACTTCTAGTGTGCATTAGATCGTCCATACGGCTCTTGCGCTGCCTCCACTTACCCATACCTGTAATGAGGAAACCATCTTCAGATACCATACCTTTCTTCCCTTCCAGGGCTCATGTTAGTAACACTTGAATTGAGTTCCTGGATTTGTTTACTTTCATAGGCTTTTCCGTTGTTCTAAGGCAAACATGCCAACTACATTTTTTTGGTAGAACACCCTCCACTAGTGATTAATTTTCCATGCGGCATAAGAAGCCAACTGTACAATTAATTACTCATGGTTAAGCCTCGTTCTTGCTTTTTAGAACTGATGGCTAGATGTAAATGGTGGTCATAGCCCCGCCGCTAAGACTGTTTTTTCCGTGGGTGAAAAATCCCGTCATACCGATGAGTATGAGGATGAGATTTTCATACTCCTTGGAAGCAAGGAAGAGGATAGGAACAGCGCAGCTTCCGATGTTCCTAGGTTAATCGAATTCCTATGCTAAACAACATTCCTAATTGGCTCATATAAGACGAATGAAATCCGCTAACCCCCATTCAATCCGCTTTTCGGGACGTACTGAAAAACCTGGCGACCCCATTCCGGATCTACGAATTTCGGTGCTACGAATTGCCCCTCCCAATAATACCCCATATTCGAGGTCTCCAAATTTCGAAGCATGTCAACCCAATAAAACTGCAGAGCTTGTGGAAGAAAGGTGGGAAGAAAACGACAGATCCAATGAACATTCGTTCAAACGAGCAAAGAAGAGTTCTAGGAAATAACGTTGCTCAGCACTTGGAGACTTTTCAAGTACCACAGGCCTGAGTGTAGGAATAAATTTTGTCCATCGATGTGAATATTCTATGTTAATAAGCGGTAACGCTCTTCGAGAGGAACTTACGAACGCATGCAAAATATCCGTTTCAAGCCGGAAATTCAGAACAAAATGAAATCTACGTGATATGAGACTATTTACATGCCAAACTTTTTTTTGCCGCAACGTCAGATCGAACCTCATTTTTCATCCGATTTCATCACAGCCACGTGCACCTGCCCCCTTTTTTCTCTATACAAATTAATCGTATGCTTTCTATTTGCTGCTAACCATACACAATTATTTTACCTCAGCCTCAAGAACAGTTTTACTACCGAGAAGATAAAGAACCATGCTATCCCAATCAAAACTTCACCTAAGAGAGAAAAGGGCTCACCTTTGGAATGACATCGGATTCCTGCCTAACGCCCTGAAGAATTTGTCCTCAATTGATGCATAAGCTTGGATTTTAGGCTTGGGATCAATAATGGATAGGTGAGATTTAGGGAGCGCCAAAAACCTCTCAATAAAAACGTTAGAAATGGAAATTCGAATCTCCGAGAGAATTTCCAAGGGCCGTTCATTTAATGGCCTCTCGGCAATCGGAAATAATAACGCAAAACTAAGAAAGGCAACAGCAACGTTCATTTAATGCCAAGATCTAAGCAAACGTTGTTTCTCTCACACTTCCTCATAGGGGCACCTATGTAGCCTCTTACTATGAAATGTCATGGAATGACATCTGCCCAGAACCTAGTTAGCTGCAGGTAATAGAGATGATCGCGCATTACCGGGCAATTGACAAAGAAAATTTTCATTCAAATGATTCTCTGTGCTACCCCAGTGGCATAGAGACAGACATCAGAGAGAGTGAAGTTTGAAATCCACACGATCATGATTATTCCGTGAACTCCTACATTTATCCATGTTTAGGCTTACCCACAACGATGCTCAGCAGGAAGCCCTTGGATGAGTCGCACATGCCGAAAACGCTGAAGATCCACGATGGAAGCATAATGAGGAACGTCTCTGCTACAGTGAGTTCTTCCTTTGGTGTTCTCGATAATCTCGACAGAACTACCNTCTTACGGCGTTCCTGAATCTAGCTGCTGTAGATGATAGCAGTGGCTGTCTGACCTTTGGGGAGCAACCCATGGTCTACAATTCCCTTAGAGTCTTGAGAGCAGCACAGCAGAACCACTTACGGTGCTTGGCTCAAGCTGCTTGGGCGGACTCCCGTCCCCAGATCCTGTAGAAACTCATGCCGATTAAAGGTGGGTATGTTGGTTGAGATAAGTATGGTGTGTCTCATGCGTTGGTTAGCTGGTGTGTCGTCGACTAAGATCTTTCCTGTAACCGTGTCCGTAAAGGTGTAGAACACTTTCGCTGTGATCCCACTCGAGAGGCTTCGCCGAAATCGCTCAAAAGTTGCTCATCATCAATAGCAACTATTTGTCCGAACGACAATCATCGTTGGATGTCTTCTGGATGAAAGCGACCGGGTGAACGACAAATAGTCGCCTAGCTATTTATTTTCCTCGAATGCCTTGTTGTTGCTGGAAGCAGCGGAAAGAGCACTGGAGTTGCCTGAGTTTCGATATGTGCGAAATGATTTACAAGAGAAACGCTCGTGGACCTTCCTGGACATCCTGAAGACTGGTGCTAGTTCGGACTTTGTTCTAGGATGAAGTTTTCGTAGGATTTATATCTCAAACTTCTGCATCAACCTAGTTACTATTGATTGCATGACACAAGATGCGGCTACAACTAAGGGAAGCAATTGGGAGTCTGAAGCTCATTCCGTCCACATATCGTCCTTTGTGGTGATCTTCCTGATCCTATTACGACTTTGGGATGCAAGAGTGGTACTCCAGACAAGGCTGCTTCGAGCGAAAGTGCAAATTCCTGGAGATAAGTGAAAACGATTGTGAAACGACACTTGCTCTCTCGCTGATCGGCAGAACAACATAGCTCTCCAACAACATTGATTTATCGATCCAATATCAGTTTGTAGAACGCTAAAGTTTTCTAAACACTGGTGCATAGCCATGCAGGAGCCTCCGGGTTATTATAATTTTCTGTGTAGTTCCTCGCCTTGGAGGCGCAATCTCCGTAGAAAAAAGTTCACGAAGCACGCGCGGCACGGTGCTTTGTCGATACCGCTGTTCGCGGTGCAGTTGGACTGCGGCTTTTGGCATAAGTCCAGAAATTGGCCCTGAAAAGATCGTGTTTCTGTAGAGACGCAGTGCTTCGACAGCATCAAGTGAGTACACGTGACGGCAGAGGGTGGCGAGGGGCGGAAAGAAGACGTTTTTCTCTCAGTGGGTTCGCCTGAACGCAGCCAGCCCACCGCGCGACATCCGAGCGCACCCGTCCGCGCTCGCCAGTGGTGGCCGTTGCTGCTGTCAAATCGTCTACGCGTGACGTCATATCAGATTTTACTTGGAAGGTTATACCAGTAACAGCGGGAATGGCCACCACTACGATAGCATATCCGCTAGAGAAGACCTGTTTCCTTCCTGAATCCGCCACATTGATAGCAGAATGCATCCAGGTTGGTTTTTGCCAAAGTCCTTTCTTCTAACCTTTGTGCTGTGTGGAAGCATTTCAGATCACCGTAGGGAGTAACTTATGTCAAGTATTTTATTTGTAAGTGACTTGTTTTGATTGGAAAACAAACTTCCCCCTCCTCAAATTCTACTCAGGCTCACTTTGGGTGGTCGCCTTGATTAACTGGTCGACGTTGGTGGCCTCTAAGCTGTTTCAAAAGTCACTACTGAAATCGAAACCATCCGTTCCAAAGGTCTGAACGGTTCGATCCCCTATTATGAGGGCTGCATTGGTGAGAAATTGGGATCTAATCAATACTAGATCAGCAGTGATTTCATGGACACTGCTTCATTGACACGGGCATTCCATTTCCATTCAATGCCTATCACTTTGATCGAGAGACCAATCTTTCGGTGCTTCCGCCGTTTACANCCTCAAATTCTACTCAGGCTCACTTTGGGTGGTCGCCTTGATTAACTGGTCGACGTTGGTGGTCTCTAAGCTGTTTCAAAAGTAACTACTGAAATCGAAGCCATCCGTTCCAAAGGTCTGAACGGTTCGATCCCCCTACTTGTAAGGGCTGCATTGGTGAGAAATTGGGATCTAATCAATACTAGATCATTCATTGACACGGGCATTCCATTTCCATTCAATGCCTATCACTTTGATCGAGAGACCAAACTTTCGGTGCTTCCGCCGTTTACATCTGGGATGTTAATCCAATTGGAAGCTCCCCACTAAGTTTCCATGCATATTGTAGCTCTTACATGATGTAGACTGTTCAATTTATTGATATTTGATTTAGAATCTTGTTCATGAGTTGCAAGAGGCAAAAACATGCGTCGCAACTACACCTATCAATGCACCTTCGACTCTACCCGAATCGAGAGTTCTGTGCCTCTACACGGGCGGTACGATCGGCATGAAAAGTGAGGATGGAGGTGAGTAATCGATCTTGTTGTCAGAGGGATATGATTATGAGTGTGACGGCAGAGTATTCATCGCTTATCATCACTTGCAGCTGAAAAGTTGCTTCAGAGGGTTGTTGTAAAGCTAGGCTTCAATCCGAGATAGGGATGATTCTGTGAAGTCTGAGAAATTCTCTTAATAATGCAATCATTCTGAAATAATAGGCTCCTAGGAAATTTCTCTGGTGGTAAAGTATGAGACTCCACCTTCATTTTAAGCCTCCAACTGCGCTAGACTCCGACAAATTAGACTAGGCTTACCGTATTCCGGTTCACTAACATTGAAGGAGGCGGAGTGGTAACCAGTCACCTCTGCCAACCTCGGAAAACATCTTATGGTAACTATTCTCAAATGTACTTTGCACCGTCGACAAACAAAGCTCAGCAGAAGTCTGTGCTTCGCTGCAGCTGCAAGCCAGCTGTGATCAATTCTCTTTTGGTGAATCATGCTCGTAAAAGGCAAATCGAGCAAGTGCAGGGTCTGGTTACTAGAGGAGGAAGAACTATATGTGTAGAAAAGGTGTTTTTGTAGTTCTCCGATTTCCATTTACAGGTAATGGGATACCAGAACAGGTACATATTTGCGTCGAATCTGACTAGTAAAAAAAGTGAATATGGTTTGCTGTTACCGCGGTATTTGAAGGCACCTCGGAGATAAGAAGCACGCAGGCTTTAGGTGGCTCGGGAGACGGTACTCAGACAACGACCGAAGATTAATTATTGTCACCGTAGTTACAAGGGAATTCTGGTTATGAATCAACCATGCGGAAGTCTGCGTTGACTGGGATTTACGTTCAAACCACAGCACTGACTTCCCGGTTTCACATTTATCGATGTTCTCGGGATTACATTTAGAAATTGGGTGTTTATTGGGACCTGTCCTATTGTTCACTAATGCATATCGACTAACTCTTTCTGAGTAGAGATCAGGCAACAGCATCATATACCAGCTACCAAATATATGTATATCTGGAATCCAATTGGAAAGCCTTCAATTAAGTAAATATCCCAGCTATAAACGACGGAAACAATGTCGAAACTTCGCCGAAGGATGGGTCTCTCGATAAGAGTGATAGGCGTTGGAAGGAAATGGAATGCTCATGTCAATGAAGCACTGTCCATGAAATCACTGCTGATCCAGTATTGATTAGATCCCAATTTCTCACCAATGCAGCCCTTACAAGTAGGGAATAGAACCGTTCAGACCTCTGGAACAGATGGCTTTAATTCCAGTAGCCTTTCTGGTCATCCTCATCTTCTGATTTTTTAACACCGTGAAAATATAACAACACTAACATTTGACGGACTTACTGAACGCAAAGTCAAAGCTTTTGAATTTCTTGTTCAATTATTCTTCGAAAGCTATGCGCTTTGACTGGGAGTGCTTTCTTTTTCATGAAACGACACTGTTGGTCGGAAATCAGGTGCAAAAGTTGTGAACGCGGTTCATACGACTATTACACATGGTAATAAAAGACCGCCTTGGTCGTGACTTGTACGGAGATAGACGGGAAACCAAGTATGTGAAGTATTTACTACACATCACTAAAGCTAAGGGTAGCCGTTAGGAGTCTATTGCACTCATCTGGCCCTGTTCAGATACACGGACTCTTCTGAGCTCTTGGGAAATGGTGTAGAGATGACTTTCTATTTAAACTCTTCAGTAGTTCAACGCTATGACGTCACCATTCTGATGACCATGGTCTCCTCTTTGGCCTTACGTTAACAGCTATCTGTTGTCCGACTTTTTCGTAGTTAGCCGATGTAACCGATTCTCTTCCTAAGAGAAAAAATGCAGTAGGACAGATGAGAAAGATGGAAACAGTCTTATATTGGAAGAGGGTCATCTGGTAGCATAACTATGTCAAACCTTCCAGGCCTCTGCGTTGATACCGGTTCATGACACTTTTTCTCTCCGGACAATAGTGAGGATCAATTCATATATTTTTTTATCTAATATGACAATTTTGAGTGGATGGCTGAGTGTGAGAGCGTGGCATCTAGCTCACCATGCTGAAAGACCGCCGTCTTGTTGTAAAAAGTTGCCCGAGAATTTCAACGATTCACGTAACTCGTCGAGGGAGGCCTCACTTTTTTCATGCTAGTTTCTTGAAGTGATTGATGTGCGTACTTGAATCAAAACAAACGCAAACACACAAAATATGATATCTATTTGTAACCATTGGGTGAAGATTCGTCCAAACTGAGCATGGATGAGTTCACCCTCGTTGTATATTCTCCTAGTTATCAATCTTGTTCAATAGCTCCTAATTTATATACTACTATTAGGTTGATGCATAATTATTGCGGATTTTTTTGCGGCTTTTTTTCTCTCGATAGA